GTGTTTGTGTGTCGGTCCCCGCCCGACGCCGAGCCTGCGCTCGTGGGGTGGTCGCTGTGTCTGACCCTGTCTCCGTGGCTGTCCGCGAGTGGAGAGCCCGCTGCGTGGGTCTCCTGCGGGGAGGTGGGGGCGGCTGGAGTCTCCGCCCGGGCGTCCTCCAGCAAGCCCAGCCGGGGCTACACGACCGCCGCCCGGCAACGTGCTTCTCTTTCGGTAAACTTGTTCGAACCCCGAGCAGAAGCCGGTTATTTTGGCGATTGCACCTCAGCCCGAACGCGACAGATGTCTTTGTCACAGCTGAGCACGGGCCGGGTGTGCGGTGTCCGCGTGTAGGAGGAGCGATGGGGTGGAACCCGTGTCTCGGTTTTCCTCTTCTCGCTTTCCCGGGCGGTTGCAAGTTAGAGGTGTGTGCTGCCGCTTTGTCCCCACCTGCCGTGGTCCAGCTCCTGCTGGCACAAAGATTCAACAGACTGAGGAGTAACTCAATAGCTGTTTCCAGAATTCCAAACGCTTTTATACCACGAGCATGAGAAGAGCAAGGTGTCCCAGAAGAGAGGTCAGGTAGGAGCTTTGTCGCCCACCCATGAGTTTCAGAGATCGTGAAATAGGTTCCTGAAGAAAAGGGGGAGAAATCTTTCCTGAAGAGGTCTTGTAAAAGGATAGTTATAAATACTTTAAGAAAGGGATTGGCAGTAGTGGGATACTGAGGGGGGAGTGGGCAACATCAATAAGGGTACCTGATCTCAAACCAGGCAAAGCGGGTACCAGAGGGAGGCACAAACTTTACCTGTGTGATGTTCACTTGTATACCTAATCCTGAGTTGTACCCCATAGCTTTAAAATAAGAATTTTTTTTAAAGGATAGTTATATACTGGTGTGGTGTGGGATGGTTGGACACGCAGATTCTAAGGTTTTTTGTGGCTTGTATTAATAATAATCAGAGTGTACATACGCAATAGATGAGATAAAGAAGTAGAAACCTCGGTCTAGTTCAGCTCGTTATGTAACTTAAACATTTGTAAAGGTGACTTTGTTGAAACTCTAAGAGACAGCTGCACACTCTCAACTGGCCGTTTTTTTTGTCCAGCAGCACAAGGGCCAGAGAGGACCAGGAGACCACAGCACACCCCAAAGAGGGGTTTCCGCAGGCAAGATTAAGGCTGACCTCTGTGGTTCCTTTCCCACCAGTATGAACAGGTGCTTTTGTTATTGTGAAGAACTAAATCATGAGAGATCAAATCAGTGTTGAGCTCATGGCCCACATTCTTTCGTATTCAGTACTGACCAGTTGGGTCACAATCTCAGTTAACCTTCTTTGCCATATACAGAATGTTCTTCATGTGACTTGGAAAAGTATACCAAAGTGGATGAAAGAGAGCTTGGAGAACAAACTTTCCTTTTCATGCCACTCCCAGCTGCTTTCCCTTTGCAGCAGTGAGCTTTTGTTCGCTTGGTCAGATGCAACATTTGGTGTCCATTTTACCTTTCATGTGATGCCAAACTAGCGCAAGTGTTAAAATCACTTGTCTCTACAAAAATTTAGTCACAACTGGGTGGAATCTCTCTATTCAGCAAGATTAGTTATAACATGTTAGAATACTGAGGTGGTTGTGAATTACACTGAGGACTGTTGGTAAGGAACACCTTTCTGCTTACTGCTATGGGAAGGAAGGGGGTGAGTGTATGAATTTGTGTGCCTGTATATGTGTGTATTTGTATGGTAGTTTGGTTTGTGCATTGCAATGATTCCAGAGCCACGAATAACTTATTTTATCCCATGTTTCACAACTCTAGAAGTAAACTTTCTGGCTTTAGTTAACTCAGGTGTCTTATAAATCTATTGAATTTATTTTACTTGCTAAACATGGTTTTTATGTTCCCTCCTGTGTAGAATAGAGTAATTGTTTCTAGTAAATGCAATACTAGGAAATGTTTCCATTAAGAAGGTATTTAGAAGCCGGGATCAGTGGCTCAGCCTGTAATCCCGCGCCTTTGGAGGGCTGAGATGAGTGGATTGCCTGAGCCCACGGGTTTGAGACCCGCCTGGGCAACTTGGCGAGACCTCATCTCTACAATAAATCAAAAATCAGCCGGGCGTGGTAGTGCACGCCTGTAGTCCCAGCTACTTGGAAGGCTGAGGTGGAAGGATCGCCAGAGCCCAGCAGGTCGAGGCTGTGGTGGCCAGGAGCAGCCACTGCACTCCAGTCTGGGCAACAGAGTGAGACTCTTAACTCAAAAAAAAAAAAAAAGAAAAGAAAAGAAAAGAAAGTATTTAGATAATACGAGAGTATTTCAAGTCTGTCCAGGTAGAAAATATTCCAGAATTAACTATATGTGTTAGTTGCTTTCAATTAAAAGTAATAATCAGCTCAGAGAAAGGCTATAGTTAAAAATGACTTAGGTTTTTAAACATGTTAATATTCAAGATAAAATGGATATGCAAAGAATAATTTTTATTTCAGCATCAGTAGTTACATCTATGCACGTTGACTTTTTACATAAAACTGGCTGATTATTTTCTTTTTTTTTACATATATATTTACTTTATTATAGAGATGTGGAGTACAAGTCAGAATTAGGTACATAAGTAATGTATGTGCAGGTAAAGTTTGGGCCTGTTACCTTTTGAAGCACAAACTTTTAATATTTTTATAAAGTCTCATTTACCAATTTGTTATTTTATAGTTTGTACTATGTCATATTAAGCACTCTTTTTCCAACACAAGGTCATTAAGATTTTCTCCTATTTTTTTCTCTAAGTTTAGTGTTTCATCTTTTTTCTTTTACTCCATAATTCATTTTGAATTAATTGTCGTGTGGAGTATGAGGTAAGGCTCTAAATGCATTTGTTTGGCATGTAAAATATCCATTTGTCCCAGAGTTATTTGTTCAAATGACTGTCCTCTCCCTATTAAATTGTCTTGGCACAATTGTTAAAAATCAAAAGACTATAAATATATGAATTTTATCTATTTTCTTGATACTTTAAGGCAACTTACTATTTTAACAAACTTTTCTAAAAGTACCATATACCTTTGAGAGACGAGATCATTATTACAATGTCAAAGTTGTAAATCTAGTATTGGAATATCTGCATTTACTTGGAGTTCCACTTAGTAACTCTCCAAGGCAACAGTTGAGTCTACTGAGGGAGTCAATTTCCAGGGCCAATGGGAAAGAGTTCCATTGAGTTTAGAATCCCTTCTCCTTAACAGTTGAGAGAAACCCCTCTAAAATGACAGTTCAGAGTCAGCCCAGGAATTCAGTACTGGAGTCTCCACCTCACGTCAGCCCTGCTAGCGTCTAGCCGTGCTATGGTGGTAGAGGACGTGGTGCACAGCAAGTCTTTGAATCCTTCCAAACTAATGGGCACAAGTTCCTCACTTGGCAGTAAGACTAGGCAGCAGGGAACTGTAGTTTCATTTTCCTGTTATGACATATCACAGATGCCCAAGCAAAGAAAGCAGGCTTTAGGTTGAAGATGTCCGGCCAGTCCACAGCTCACAGATGCCAGGTTTAGAACGGACTCCAGGATGGTCTGGTTCATTCTCCTTAGATTGTAGCCACTCATTTAGTCAAGAGATAATGCCTGCTGTGTGCCAAGCACTGTTCTAGGCTTTGGGAATATGGTGAAACAGTCATAGATGAAAAAACAAACCGAAAAAGGGTAGTGACTAATCCAAGGTCACAGAGGTAGAAAAACTTGAGGTTACAACAAAAGACCACACTTTTTTTCCTAAGGCAAGTGTTCTGTTTTGTTGCTAGTTATAGTGCCTTCAAGTTTATATCGTAGACCTTTCAGAGGACACTGTGTAACCTTTAATTGCATCAATGTCAATGGCAAATTTGCCTGTATTTTATATTAGGAACTACATGTGAATTTCTGAGGTTATGTTTCTTTAAGCATTAGATTTATAGTATGTGTGAATTTATCAGGAAGCAGACTTACTGTAAACTTCTTTCACTAGCATGGACTGCTCCTTGTAATTTTGTTCTCTATAATCAGACAGGAACATCTTATTAAAATGGAGTTTTAAGGTAATATCAAAAGATAGATGATGGTACTGCAATGGGAATCATTTAACTAGGACAGGCAATATGGTATCTGAAGACTGTCCTGCATCTGGCCCTAGCTCTGTAATAGCAATGTGATCTCAGGTAAGTCATTTAAATTTTCTCCATCAGATTCCTCTTCTAGAGGAACTAAGGATGTTGGACTCATTTCTCTAAGGGCTCTATGGTTCTATGATTGTAGCATTTCACCAGGTTATTTTCTGTAGTTTAAGTATATACTGAAAAGGTAAAAGAGCCCATTTCCTCAGTTTTACTCTTTGAGGTATTATTGGGAAAGCTAGACCAGACTCTACATTTGGTTCTGAAGTAAACATGAATTCTTGACATGAAACATCACATGCTTTTATTTCAGGGCTAACCTCCATTTCAGCTAATCATGGGGGAGATAAAAGTCTCTCCTGATTATAACTGGTTTAGAAGTACAGTTCCCCTTAAGAAGGTATGTATGGTTTTACTACATCTCTTATTTGCAAAATCTTGTATTGTTTTTGTGTATGATTTAGACATTATGCTTTAACAGTGTTTGAGAGTAAAGGTTACTGCCAAGTGTCATGAGTCTGGACTGCAAAACATAAAGTTCACCTTGTCCCTGCCACACGCAGTCAACTTTTGAGACTCCGTCAAAAGCAAAGGCAGTCATAACTATATTCATTTATAATTACTTTTACTATTTAAGCAAGCAGGTGTGTGTATACCCCTCACTGTAAATTAGTGGAAAACTTACAGCTAGGCTGGGCATGGAGGCTTACACCTATAATCCCAGCACTTTGGGAGGCCAAGGTAAGAGGATTGCCTAAGTCCATGGGTTCGAGACCAGCCTAGGCAAGTTGACCAGACCTCACCTCTACAATAAATCAAAAAATTAACTGGACATAGTGGCACACACCTGTAGTTCCAGCTACTTGGAAGGCTGAGGTGGAAGGATTGCCTGAGCCCAGCAGTTTGAGACTGCAGTGGCCATGAGCATGCCACTGCACTCCAGCCTGGGTAACAGAGTGAGACTCCAACTCAAAAAAAAAAAAAAAACTTACAGCTACTAAGTACAGTCAGATTTTATTCCTTTTCCTCAGATTTAAGATTCACGATGGATTACATTATAAAGCCTCAGTTTGCAGTGACATACCCTGCCACAGTCATCTTCTGGAAGCCTGACTTGCCTGAGATGTTTGAAAAGCCTAAACACTTATATTGAAACTGAATATTGGCTCTGACTCCCAGATTAATTCCACATGTTTGGCGATTACACGAGACATTGGATGTTCAGGCTTCAGAGTAAAAACTTTGCTAATTCCTTTGCAAAAGTGTTAGATAACTGTGATCTGAAAGTCTTCAGTGTCTCTGGTAATAATTTCATCAGAGTTGACAGCTGTGGAAGTATCATGCAAGTTTGAATTAATAATAAAATTACTCTCGATGTAGAAATCTAAGATACGATTCTCTAAATATAGACAGGATACCTACTATATGCCTGGCATATTGTAGAACTCCCTAGATATCTTATTTATTTCTTTTAACAGTTTAACAGGGCAGGTCTTGTGCTCATTTCACAGATGAGAAAATTGAGGTTCATAGAGGTTAACTAACATATTAAGCCTGGGCAACATAGCAAGACCCCATCTCTACAAAAAATAAAAATAAATTATCTGGGTTTGGTGATACACACCTGTAGTCCAGCTACTTGGGAAGCTGAGGCAGGAAGACCTCTTGAGCCCAGGAGGTCAAGGCTGTAGTGAGCCATGATTGTGCCCCTGCACCCCAGCCTGGGCAATAGAGCAAGACCCTGTCTCAAAAAAAAAAATGGTTGGATATAGTGGTTTATGCCTGTAATTCCAGGACTTTGGGAGGCTGAGACAGAGGATGGCTTGAGGCCAAGAATTTGAGACCAGCCTGGGCAGCATAGCAAGACCCCATCTCTATTTAAAACAAAAACAAATATATTTAAGCTCACACAACCTGGTAGAGGATGGACTGAAATTAGATTAATCTGGCCAGGCGCAGTAGCCTCAAGGCTATAATCCCAGCACTTTGGGAGGCCAAGGTGAGAAGATTGAGCCCATGGGTTCAAGACCAGCCTGGGCAACATGGTGAGACCACGTCTTAACAGTAAATCAAAACTTAGCCAGGCGTGGTAGCATGTGCCTGTAGTTCCCGCTACTTGGAAGGCAGAGGGGAAGGATCGCCAGAGCCCAACAGGTCGAGGCTGCAGTGGCCGGGAGCGGCCACTGCACTCCAGCCTGGGCGACAGAGTGAGACTCTAACTCAAAAAAAAAAAAAAAAGAAATTAGATTAACCTAGCTTCAAAGTCAGAAGTGCTTGGGCTGCCTGCCGAAGGAAGCTTCCCTTCCTCTTCGCTGTCCAGAGGACGGCTGCCCACATTGACCAGAGAGTTGGCCCTGGGGTTCCTCTTCTTCCTCCCATCCCGTCTGCTAATTTGTGTGGGCGCCCCCTGGTGATCTTGCTGCTTCAACAAGCTCATCTCCAGACCCAAAACAACCCAAACTTGTCTAAATACTCTTAGAAGTACTTCGAGAAATGGGTTTCATTGCTGTGGTTTTTTCTAGTTGTCAGATCAGTTTGGTCCATGAGTCATGATACATTTGCCTGAAATTTTGTGGTGCTAGATTTTTAATGATCAAACATACTGTTTTTCTAAAAGTATTTTGACAAAATTGGCATTCAAGGAATTCTAAGAAAGTTAAAGTGATAAACACATTTAATATGGCTTATGTTCAAATTTTTCTGTTACTTTTCAGAAAATACTATTTCAGAGCATACTGTTTGTGTTACTTTTCTTCCAAATTAGATTATTGAAATAATTTTCTAGAAAATTTTAGAGATCTGAGCATCTTACGTGATTTTATTACTATAAGATTGATATTTAAGCTGGGTGCAGTGGCTCCCGCCTATGATCCCAACATTTTGGGAGGCGGAGGTGAGAGGATTGCCTGAGCCCATGGGTTTGAGACCAGCCTGGGCAATGTGGCGAGACCTCATCTCTACAATAAATCAAAAAATTAGCTGGATGTGGTGGTGCTTGCCTGTGATTTCAGCTATTCAGGAGGCTGAGGCAGAAGGATCGCCTGAGCCCAGCAGGTCGAGGCTGCGGTGGCCATGAGCATGCCACTGCCCTCCAGCCTGGGGACAGGGTGAGACTCCAACTCAAAAAAAAAAATTGGTAAGATGCTCAGATTGGGATTTATTGTGTGCTCTGTCAAAGATCACTGAGAGTTTTTTACCATGATCACAGCAAAAAGAAACATGAAAAGCAAAATTGTTAGTGCAAAACACACAGAACAAAAACATGAGTGTGAGAGACACCGTCACCGTCTGTGCCTGGGGGAAGTCCAGAAGGGAACTGGGTTTGGTGTTGCCCTTCCCCATTGTCTGCAGCTGGTGACCCACAGAGTGACACTATGGCATCCACAGCTCCGCCAGTGAGGAGTCCTCAGAAAAAGAGAACCTAGAGAACCTGAGTTTTTTAATATCAAAGTAGGGCAGATACTAATTTGCACTGGCAAATGTTCAAGCAGTTCATGTAACTTTCTAAATACCACCTAAGTCAGTCAAAGAAAACAAAAATTGAACTGTCATGCAGTGAATAGTAAGAGGTAACACGACGTCTGCCAAGCTTGTGCTGAGCTCTTGGCTTGGCTCAGCTCTTTTCCCTGTTGGGTCAAGAACCACTAAATCAGGAAGGTTTCTGATGACCTTCCTCCTGCCCACCCGCTTTTCCCCAGAAGTCAGTTTCTCCTCGTGCTCACCCCCACCCTCTTACTGATTGGCTTGAGGTATTCTGGGACAGAGGCACACACACTTGCCTCCTCCCTCTGTCGTGGAAGCCTCCCTGCCCGCCCCTCAGAGGCTTGGTCTGGATCAGCGTCTCCTAAATGGGTGCTGTCCTGTCTATCTACCCAGCTTCTTCCTACAGTCTCGTCTCCCCATCTACTCCCCTGTTCATACTCTGGCCCTACTGATGCCAGCCAGTCCTCTGGGCTAGCACTGAAGAATACCTGCAGACTGCCCTACACACACACACACACACACACACACACACACACACACACACACACACACAACTAGAAAGATGGGGAGGAATTAAGGATGCTTGTATAGATTTCTTCCTGTTGACATGGGTGGAAAGGAACGTTTTAAACTGAGAGAAAAAGTAGCTCTTTGGAAGAGAATTAAGCAGCTCTGTGAAATATGTAAACACTAAAGAAATAAAAGAAGACCAGAATAGTTTGTTATGCATGCTAGTCTGGTGTGATCTCTGGGATACCTTGAAACAAGACAGTAGCATTCAAATTGTCAGTAAAATTATAGTGTAAAATAGCATAAAAAACAAATTCAGACCAGGCATGGTGGCTCACGCCTGTAATCCCAGCACTTTGGGAGGCCAAGGCAGATAGACCAGTTGAGGCCTGGAGTTTGAGACCAACCTGAGCAACATAGCAAGACCCCACCTTTTAAAAAAAATTTTATTTGAGTCAGGGTCTCACTCCCTCTTCCCAGCTGGAATGCAGTGGCATAATCACGGCTCACTGCAGCCTCCAACTCTTAAGCTCAGGTGATCCTTCCACCCCAGCCTCCCAAGTAGATAAGACTATAGGCATGCACCACCATGCCCTGCACGTTATTTTTATTCTTGCAGAAACAAGGTCTTGCTATGTTGCCTAAGCTGGTTTCAAACTTCTGGGCTCAGGCAATCCTCTCACCTGGACCTCCCAAAGTACATGGATTGCAGGCATGAGCCATTGTACCTGGCCCCCCAAAAATAGTTTTAATTAAGGTGTGGTGCTACACACCTATAGTCCCAGCACTCAGGAAGCTGAGGCCGAAGGACTGCTCGAGCCCAGAAGGTCAAGGCTACAGTGAGCTATGATTGTGCCATCACACTCCTGCCTAGTCAACAGAGTGAAACCCTGTCTCAAAAAAAATTTTTTTCATAAGATTTTCCATTTTTTCTTGTAACTTTTCCTCCAGATTATCGTAGATGATGATGACAGTAAGATATGGTCACTCTATGATGCAGGCCCCAAAAGTATCAGGTGTCCTCTCATATTTCTGCCTCCTGTCAGTGGAACTGCAGATGTATTTTTCCGGCAGATTTTGGCTTTGACTGGATGGGGTTACCGGGTTATAGCTGTAAGTATTATCTATTCAGTATTAAAGTTCAGAACCCCAATTTGAATTTTTTGTGCTTCTGTTTCTGATCAACTATAGTAATGGACACTTCTTTTTAATTGAGGTAAGATATTGTTTTCTTATTTTAAAATATGAGATGAAACCTTTTCAAGGAAGCGTATGCATACACAGTTACACAGATTCAGTGGGAACAGACCTCTTTTGTCAGTAGTGGTAGCCTCTCTCCAGGTCCAGGTTTGCATGTGTCTGTCTCTCTTTACCTCTTCTCACAACTCGGAGTGGTAGGAAGCCTTGTCCTTGTTTATAGATGAGGACACTGAAGTCCAGGTCATTTTAGTGCTTGCCACAGGTGACACACCAGTAAGTGAGGGAGGGAGGAGCTGAGCTCAGCCTTCTTACTTCCTTTCCTCTCCTTATCTTATCACACTGCTGCTTCCAGGGAAGCTGAGCGTGAAATATTAGACAGCAAAGAAATCTGCTGACGTATGCGTGCCTGAAAAACCTGCTTTTAATATGCGTCTTTGACATTTGAGGTGAACTTCATTAATTAGCTCATCTTTTTAGCATTTGGTTCAGACTTTTTTTGTTTCTAACTGTTCATTTATAGCTGAGCTTGGTCTCAATCTCATTTCCCACTGGTCATACTTGAATCTCCTTCCCTGAGAGAAAGGTGTGTGGGGAAGGCACTGTTGCTTGTGACTGATTTTTTTTTTTTTTTTTGTATGCCGACTATATAACAACACAGGTTAGTTAGGAGGTTGGTCTCCTAACTTCCGAGAAAGGAGAGAGTCTCTTTAGCTTTGGAGCTGGCAGTTGTCTTTGGAACCTGGGATATTCGCATGTAAGTGGTACTTCCTGTGAGAGTACTACTGTTCTTATACATTTTATTTTCTGTTGAAAGGAGTGAAAAAGTGGGTCAGATCACTTCTCTTGGAAGGTAACTGAAAATTCTACTGAGGTTACCACCCACTGTGACCATACAAAAGGAATCAATGCCTCTTCCTCCTGGCAGCCCTTCTCTTACTTGAGAAGTGCCACCTGCTGCCTTCCTCCCAGGTCTCTTTTCTGGCTTAATTTCTCCCATTTCTTTAACCATTCCTCATATGGCGTGTCTGAGTCCCTCCAACATATGTCCTCCTTTGTTATAGGACTTCATGTATAGGAAGAACTAGGAGAACAAGATGTCCTCATCCTAGCCCTCTGCAGCCCAAGACATGGCAGTACCACTTTGGTAGCCACTGTTAATCAGCCAGGAAGGGGGGAAACTGAGCAGCCCTCAGGTGTTTGGCCTACTTGGGAGCATTGTCAATTGCTAACTGTGTCTTTATTGCTCCAAACTGGCAGGTCATTATAGCTTTGGTTCTGGCAAAATGTTTCTTCTTTGCCCTCGGGGCTCTTGATGTGTTCTCTCCCTATTTCATTGGTAGGTAGTGAAGCAAGAAAAGGCCCACAGTGTCTTCAAAATGACTTTGTCCTCAAGATTTTTTTTTCTTTTTGGAGGGAGGGAGGATGTCATAGAGTCAGTACCATCAAGATTTGACCCAAATGTTCAGCCCCATGAGGTTTTGGAACTTATTAAATATGTGTTATATGTAACAGTTAAAATGCTCAGCTCTTTTTTATTTAAATTATTATTGAAATAAATTCAAGTACAGTTATAAGAAATGATAAAGAGAAATAATCCTTTTACATTTTCCCCAGTTTCTCCCAATGGTAACCTTTTGCAAAAGTGTACACTATCACAACCGGAATATTGATATTAACATACTTCTCCATTCTTATTCAGACTTCCCCAGTTCTACTTGTACTTGTGTGTGTGTGTATTGAGTTACATACAATTTTGTCACCTGTGTAGGGCATGGATATTTTTAAATTAAAGTCTTCATAAAAATATCATTCTCGGCCGGGCTCGGTGGCTCAGCCTGTAATCCCAGCACTTTGGGAGGCCGAGGCAAGTGGATTGCCTGAGCCCGCTGGTTCGAGACCAGCCCGGCAACTTGGTGAGACCTTGTCTCTACAATAAATCAAAAATTCATGGGACGTGGTAGCGTACGCCTGTAGTTCCAGCTATGTAGCTATGTGGAAGGCTGAGGCAGGTCGCCAGTGCCCAGTGTGGGTCAACACTGGGGTGGCCGTGAGTGTGCCACTGCACTCCAGCCTGGGTAACAGAGTGAAACTCCAATTCAAAAAAAAAAAATCATTCTCTTTCTTTTATGCCATCATCTGACTCACATCTCCTGCAGGGAGAATCTGTTCTCCATCCTGTCTGAGGATGATGGAAGTCTTAAACCAAAGAGAATTTTATAATAAACGTAATATATTACATCATATCTCAACCAATCCTATAATTCACATGGCAATATCTGTTCCAATGATTTTTCAGTGAAAAAATGAATCTAAGTGTTTAAACAATAAGTCTGTCAGACAGGTTTTATATTTTAAAAAAAAAAAAGGAGAAATTCTTAGGTGACAAGCTTGAGTCCCCTAGAAATGAATCTGTGACTTCTGTTTCTTTTTCCTCATCATTGCCAGTATTAAGACTGGCTACTTAAGGTCAAATGTGATACTTTTTATTGTCATAAATGGAAGTACTAAGAAATCAGTCAGAATGACTAAGTCAATTAAAAGAAGAGAAACAATTTTATCAAAAACCCCTTTAAAGAAATGCTACCAAAAGGAGAGGGAGCTCTCCTTAGAACAGACTTTATGTCTCGTTATCTTGAGCTATAATTTAGAACAAAGTTAGATTTGAGGGGAAACAGTATTTCTTTACTTTGATGGGTTCTGTTCTTTCATCCTTTCATCTCAGACTTTCAACTATTTAGTAAGGGAACTGATATAGATTGAAATTGTTATTCATCTAATATCACTAGTGTGTGGTTATTTTTTATACTCTTTCCATTTTGGCCTGTCAGGTAAAATGTGAATTATTAAGTTTAGTAGAAAGTGAGAGTTTATTTTTACATATTCTGAATTAGAAGCAGAACTTGAGCAAATAAGAAAAGCTACTGTGTGATTCCTAATTTTTTTAAGTATATGAATTGCATTTTTACCTTCATGGATTTTAAAATAAATTAAAAATTATTATAATTTCAGTTGCAGTATCCAATATATTGGGACCATCTTGAATTCTGTGATGGATTCAGAAAACTTTTAGACCATTTACAATTGGATAAAGTGAGTACCCTGAAACAAATTACATACATGTGATTTTTGTGGCAACATTTATATTGTAGAACCTGATTGATATTGTCTTTATTTTTTAATAATGGATTAATTGTGATAAATATACCATATACCATACAATTTGCCCTTTTAAAGTATACAATTCCATGTTTTCTAGTATATTCACAGATATCTGCAACCAACACCACAGTCGATTTTAGAACATTTTTGTCACCTCAGAAAGAAACCCCATGTTCATTAGCAGTCATTCCCTATCTCCCTTCCTCCTGACCTGGCACCTAGTCTACTTTCTGTCTCTGTGAATTTGCCTACTCTGGATATTTTATGTAAATGGAATCACATGATACATAGGCTTTTGTGGCTGGATTTTTTTCACTTAGCTTTATGTTTTTGAGGTTCACTCTTGTTGAGGCATGAACCAGCACTTCATTTCTCTTTATGGTCGAATAATATTTGTATGAATATACCATGTTTTGTTCACTCACCAGTTGCACATTTGGGTTGTTTCCACTCTGTAGGTGAGTAACACTGCTATGAGCATTTGTGCACTAGTTTTTGTGTCAGCATATGTTTTCAGTTCTCTTAGATATGTACCTAGGAGTGGAACTACTGAATCATAGTTTTCTTAACCATAAATTACTAAGTAGTTTTATTTTCTAAAGCACTCTGTGAATAATATTTGTTAACTTGTATAATCTGTATTTAGCTGTATTGTTGTCTTGATGGGGTGAATAAATTGCATTTAGGCACAATATTTCCTAAATTTCTAACTGCTGCAGCCATTTTACTCTATTGATTAGTGATGACATTATATTCTGTGTTTAGTGATAATTGAAGAAATTTATTTTTGAAACTTAAGTTCAGAATTGATCAACATTTTAGGATCTATGTTTGTTTATAATTAGGTTCACCTTTTTGGGGCTTCTTTGGGAGGCTTTTTGGCTCAGAAATTTGCTGAATACACTCACAAATCTCCTAGGGTCCATTCCCTCATCCTCTGCAATTCCTTCAGTGACACCTCTATCTTTAACCAGACTTGGACTGCAAACAGGTAAGAACATAAACATTAGGTCAAAATTCTTATTTTGTTGAGTGGAATTTTGGAAATGTTGGCTTTTGGGGTTTTTGACAAGTAGACAGGAAGGCTCCTATTTACTTCCATCTTCTACATCTTCCTTGGCTTTTTTTTTTTTTTTTTTTTGAGTTGGAGTCTCACTCTGTCACCCAGACTGGAGTGCAGTGGCCGCTCCCGGCCACCGCAGCCTTGACCTGCTGGGCTCTGGCAATCCTTCCGCCTCAGCCTTCCAGGTAGCCGGAATTACAAGCGCGCGCTACCACGCCCGGCTAATTTTTTGACTTATTGTAGTGATGAGGTCTCGCTGCCCAGGCCAGTCTTGAACCCACGGGCTCAGGCAATCCACTCACCTCAGCCTCCCAAAGGCGTGGGATTACAGGCTGAGCCACCGAATCCGGCCTTCCTTGGCTTTTAAAATTAGAAACAATCATATCAGCAAAAGAAAAGAATTCCATGAACTCTAAATTTAGCTCTTTTCATTACTCTAAATTATTGTTTAATTTTGTTTGATATGCATTCATATACTTCTGCTGATTCTCCTCAGCATGTCTATATAACTAATACTGTGTGTTCTACTTGTCCCACTATTATTTTGCGTGAATAGTTCTGTGTATTGACTGACACAGTTTTATTAGGCATTTGGTTTTTCCCAATTCTTCATCATGTTCTGCAGAAAATCTTTGTATCAATCACTGTTTTCCTTTCCTTTCTGAGATATGTTCTCCAAATGGAAAGACAGAACATTTATTCCATCAACAGATGTTCTGCACATCATGACACCAATAATTAGTTTGCTCTTCAGAAAGATGTAAATGGTAGAAATGCTTTGGGAGCAACCAGTGAGGTGCCTGTTTCCTCAGAGCCATCCCTTCACTAATTTTTTCATTTTCATTAGTCTTTTGTGACTGGATTTTTTTCACTTAGCTTTTTGTTTTTGAGGTTCACTCCTGTTGAGGCATGAACCAGCACTTCATTTCTCTTTATGGTCGAATAATATTTGATAGATGTCTAATGGTACCTTAAAGCCAGTTTACTGTGTACTTGTTTTGTTGCTAGCAAGGTTAGGCTCCACTCTAAAAAAAAAAAAAAAAGCCCATATCTGTGTGGTCAGGTTAGTTTTCAATTAATATTATAGATCAATATTATTTTTATGGTTTTCGCATCTACTTAGGATTGCAGTCTGAAATATTTTGTAACTTTCCTAATGTTATCTCAGTAGTTTACTCAGCATTTGTGCAGCAATATCTTGTATACATTAGCTACATACAGATACTTCCCATGCAAATAATGAACTAAAGCTCATTGATTATTTTTTATTATTTTTATTGTTGTCCTAATTATCAGAATGTCAAGTGTGCCCCTGATTTGTTTGTGCTGTTGCATATCAGCTACTTTTTATCAAGTATCTGAGTGCTTACTCTGTGCTGCATGCCGAGGATACAGAGGTGAGCAAAGCCAACAGGGTTCACCCCTCACAGAGCATACTTAGACATTATCACCCATTTTTCTCTTTTTTCTTTTTTTTGAGTTGGCGTCTCACTCTGTCACCCAGGCTGGAGTACAGTGGCATGGTCACAGCCACCGCAGCTTCAACCTGCTGGGCTCAGGCAATCTTTCTGCCTCAGCGTTCCACATAGCTGAAACTACAGGCACATGCTACCACGCCCAGCTTTTTTTTTTTTTTTTTACTTATTGTAGAGACAAGGTCTCACTGAGTTACCCAGGCTGGTCTCAAACCCCTGAGCTTAGGCAGTCCTCTAGCCTTGGCCTCCCAAAGTGCTGGGATGACAGGCTTGAGCCAACCAAGCCCGACCCATCACCTTTAAAAGATAAGAAAGTGGCAGGGGTAGAAAAGAACTTAGAAAGTTAACTGGAAGATGGGTCCTTTTGAGGGAAGCTCAATTTCCAGATGACTATTCCAAAGAGAATAAGCATCAGAAGGTGCTCTGCACCTTTTATAAGTAATTTTCATCATAAATTTAGAGAATTTAGTGTTTCCTCTCCATGATGACTCTTTTTTTTTTTTTTTTTTTTTTGAGTTGGAGTCTCACTCTGTCTCCCAGACTGGAGTGCAGTGGCCGCTCCCGGCCACCACAGCCTCGCCTGCTGGGCTCCGGCAATCCTTCCGCCTCAGCCTTCCAAGTAGCTGAACTACAGGCGTGCGCTACTACGCCCAGCTAATTTTTCTTTTTTTTTAATTTATTGTAGAGATGAGGTCTCGCCAAGTTGCCCAGGCGGGTCTCGAACCCATGGGCTCAGGCAATCCACTCACCTCTGCCTCCCAAAGGTGCGGATTACAGGCTGAGCCACCGAGCCCAGCTCATGATGACTCTTAACAGTCAAAATTAATGGAATGAATATAACTAAAGATCATATATAGAAAGTCATAAAGATCAAATTGCCTTGAATTTTTAATAGTAGCAAATTTGGAGAATTGCTATAACTTTCATGCTGGTATTTTGATAGATTAATCAAAAGGTGGCATCGACCAGAAGGATATTTATCTTAATGCTCAGTTTTCCAAAGGAAATAGTTTAATCATTGAAAGAAAAAGGCCAATTAGAAAAAACATATTTTGGAATCATCAGAATATCTACCTTAGTAAAGGTATTTTGAAGTATGACTTATAATTATTCTAAATCCTTAAATAAAGGTGTAATTATATTAAGCCATAACTCTTGGGAAGCTTGGGAAAATGTATGTAAAAACTAGATTTAAAAACTGAGTTGTTTAAAAAAAGAGACTGGGTCTTTTTACCTGTATATCCCAAGTACCTGGCTAATGCGAAGCTTCAGTGAGAACATTTGCTACTTATGTGTAGTCCTGGAAGTTTAAATGATCAATCTCTGCCTTTGTTTTACAGCTTTTGGCTGATGCCAGCATTTATGCTCAAAAAAATAGTTCTCGGAAACTTTTCATCTGGCCCGGTGGACCCTATGATGGCTGATGCCATTGATTTCATGGTGGACAGAGTAAGGATCAGGGACTAGGGTGGGGACACATTGCACTGGGAATTTACACGTCTGCTTGGTTCCAGAAGGTACATTTGTCTCATTGAATATGTATTAGAGATATTTGTTAAATAATCTTCCATATTAACCTTCATACAACTGAATTGGTAAGAGCTTGGCTACTTTAGTGCTTCCCACCAACTGTCCATCAACGTCACTTGGGAGAAACTTTTAAAAATACGGATTCCGAGGCCTCACATCAGACCATCCATCTGACATCCTTGGGCATCGGGTGTGGGAATCTGTATTTATTTTTTCCCACCCTCCCTCCCACGTAAATCTGATGAATCAGGTCTATACACTTACATTTAGGAACTTCTGGGCTAGGAGATTTTTTGAAGTCTTTTCCTGCTTTACAATTCCTTAAAGGTTTATCTGTTACCTTTGAGCTATAGGAATTGGCTTGCTGCCCACAGGCAGCTGGTTGAAATAGGCAGTTTAGGTTGAGGGCTGTAGAAGACCTCATTTGTAGAAACCTTATCAGTTTCCCAGAATAGGAAAATGCCAGTACCTCCTCAGAGGCCCAGTTCATGGCGCTCAAATACTTGTGTTTCCTCACAGGTAACTCTTGTGACCCCACCACACATGATACTACCTTTTTTTTTTTTTTTTTTTGAGTTGGAGTCTCACTCTGTCACCCAGGCTGGAGGGCAGCAGCACGCTCCCGACCACTGCAGCCTCGACCTGCTGAGCTCAGGCAATCCTTCCGCTTCAGCCTTCCAAGTAGCTGGAATTACAGGCACGCGCCACCATGTCCAGCTAATTTTTTTTTTTTACTTATTGTAGAGATGATGTCTTGCCAAGTTGCCCAGGCTGGTCACGAACCCGCAGGCTCAGGGAGTCCTCTCACCTCGACCTCCCAAAGTGCTGGGATTATAGGCATGAGCCACCATGCCTGGCTGATACTACCTTTATAAGCACAAATGTTATCTGTGGATTTAATATAAATGTGAAAAAATTATTTCAAAAACAACCTGTGTTTCTTCCTGCAGCTGGAAAGTTTGGGTCAGAGTGAACTGGCTTCAAGACTTACCCTGAATTGTCAAAATTCTTATGTGGAACCTCATAAAATTCGGGACATCCCTGTAACCATTATGGATGTAAGCTTACTTTTTAATTAAAATGTTGTTTTACCTTTTTAAATGTATTATTCAAGGTTCTCCATATAATTATCTTATAATTTTTAATGTACCTCTTCAAATGCTGCCTTAGCATTTGTTTTTACCCTCCGCCTTTCTCAATTCCAAAATAATCTGTTTATTGCTTATCTTGGATTTTTTTTCTGTCAGGAATAACATCATTGTTAGGTCAGTGAGCAGGTGCCGCAAGAAAGATGCAAAGAATTGCACAAAGAGTAGGTCAGAAAAAGTTTATTTAGAAAGTAGATCAGAGAAAAAGGGTGAATCCACCTCTCCAAGATTAGAGAGGAGGCCAGTTGCTTAAGGAATGTTTGGCAGTAAATGCTTGAGGTTGAAGGCTTTTAAAGCTTCCCTTTTAATGAGGGGGCAGGTAAGCATTCTTGGGTGAGATAACACAGGAGCTGTCTCCATGGTGATGGGGGGAGTGATCTGTGTCCCCTTGGTCAGGAAGAGCTGATTACAATAGATTAGGTCAGCCAGGGCCTGTATGGCTGGAAGACAAATACTTTGGATAATAGGGTAATTAGTACAAAGCATGCCTGGAGGGGTGGTTACAAGACAATTATCAGTAACTACCTCCAGGAAACTAGTTTTGTTTCTTGTTTAATGACTATAAGATGGGTTGAAGTAAGCAATTGAAAAACGTTAAAATTGGCGGCCACTCTCACTACAGTGACTCCATTTTGGCTTTTCTTCCTTTCAGTCACTGAAATCAAAATAAATGCAGCATGGGAGTCCTTACCTTTTTGGTGTATTTTTGCTTTTCTCATCAATAGATAGTGCACTTTAGTTATTACACATCTGGCAGCAATGAGAAGTTGCCTCACAGGCCAGTAAATCAACAATTGTATAGTCTAATTTGTACAAAAGCTTGCTTCTCATTTTTTTATCATGGTAAAATATACATTTAAAAATCTGGGCCGGGCTCGGTGGCTCAGCCTGTAATCCCACACTTTGGGAGGCCGAGGCGCGTGAATTACCTGAGCCCACGGGTTTGAGACTCGCCCCGGGCAAACTTGGCCAGACCTCATCTCTACAATAAATCAAAAATTAACCAGGCATAGTAGCGCACGCCTGTAATTCCAGCTACTCGGAAGGCTGAGATGGGAGGATCGCTGGAGCACAGCAGGTCGAGGCTGCAGTGGCCGGGAGTGGCCACTGCACTCCAGTCTGGGCAACGGAGTAAGACTACAACTCAAAAAAAAAAAATCTGCCATTTTAGCCATGTTTAAGTGTGCAATTCAGTGGCATTAAGTATATATAGTCACATTAAGTTGTGCAACTGTCACCACCATCCATTTCCACAACTTTTTTAATCATTCCAAGGAGAAATTCCATTCCTGCTAAACAGTAACTCCTCGTTCCCTTTTTTCCCTCAGACTCTGATAACCAGGAATCTATTTTCTATCCATGAATTTAACTATTCTAGGAACCTCTTATAAGTGGACTCATGCAATATTTATCCTTTTATGTAGCTTGTTTCACTTAGCATAAGTTTTTAAGGATTTATCTTGAAATGTTATGCTTGTGTCAGAATGTCACTGCTTTTTAAGACTGAATAATATTCCATTGTGTGTGTTTACCACAGTTTGTTTCTCCATTCACCTGTCAGTGAGCATTGGGATTGTTTCGAGCTTTTGGCCTTTGTGCCTAGTGCTTCTATGAACAATGACATAAAAGTGTCTGTTTGCCGGGCTCAGTGGCTCAGCCTGTAATCCCGTGGTTTGGGAGGCTAAGATGAGTGAATTGCCTGAGCCTGCAGGTTCGAGACCCGCCTGGGCAACTTGGCGAGACCTCATCTCAACAATAAATCAAATAATTAGTCGGGCATGGTAGTACGTGCCTGTAGTTCCAGCTACTTGGAAGGCTGAGGTGGAAGGATCGCCGGAGCCCAGCAGATCAAGGCTGGGCGACAGAGTGAGACTCCAACTCAAAAAAAAAGTATCTGTTTGAGTCCCTGCTTTTAATTCTTTTGGGTATATACATTTAAGTGAAAGTGCTGAGTCACATTGTAATTCTATGTCTAACTCTTTGAAGGACTGCGGTACTGTATTCCACAATGACTGCACCATTTTACTTGCACAAAGTTTCCAATTTCTCCATATCCTGGATGATACTTTTTATTTTCTGGGTTTCTGGTAATATCCATTCTAATGGATATGAAGTGGTATCTCACTGTGGTTTTGACTTTTTTAAAAATCACATACTTATTTTATTTTGCCTCATAAATGAGTTTGTTCCTAAATTCAAATAATATGGTATTTTAAAAAACTGATTTTTGTCAGGAAATTATCCATTACAAGCATATAAACAATAACTTCTTATAAATCTTTACTGTAATTGCTACATTCTGATGTTTACATGACACACAGCGAGTTTTTTTTTTTTTTTTGAGTTGGAGTCTCACTCTGTCACCCAGACTGGAGTGCAGTGGCCGTTCCCGGCCACCGCAGCCTCGCCTGCTGGGCTCCGGTGATCCTTCCGCCTCAGCCTTCCGAGTAGCCGGAATTACAGGCACGCGCTACCACGCCCGGCTGATTTTTTTATTTATTGTAGAGATGAGGTCTCGCCAAGTTGCCCAGGTGGGTCTCGAACCCACGGGCTCAGGCAATCCACTCACCTCAGCCTCCCACCAAGCCCAGCTCACAGCGAGCTTTTCAATGGTGCTCATGGTACACTTACTCTGCCTGCCCTCCTTTCAAAGCAGTGCTCACCACCTGGGCTTGTGGTCCCTGAAAACCAGCCACAAGTTTTATTGGAGATGCATTTAAACATAAATATATAATATAAATTGTATATAAATATGTATTTTGGCCTCTTTTAAATTACTTTTTGAAACAATTTTTGCATGTGTTTTAAAAACATAAGTTTGTATAGATATTGAAAAATTGTCTAGAATCATTTGTTCTCAGTTGCCAGCAATGGTCTCTCCAAGAAAGGATTTAGACTTTGTAGTTTATTCTCTAAATTTTGGGGGGAATTGTTTTCACAGAGCATATACAACGTATGTAATTGTTTTTGGCTAATAATAAAAGGAGAACGTTTTTGGCAGTTTTGAGATTTTTTTTGAAATTTATTGGCATTTTCAGTGATTATTAACTGTTAATATTCTGTTAATTTAGTTAGCTATATTCGAGGAAAAAGGAAATTCATGGTCGAATGTTTCCTCTAAAGAATGCAAGACATGTGAGTGGATTGCCTGAGCCCGCGAGTTTGAGACCTGCCTGGGCAACTTGGCGAGACCTCATCTCTACAATAAATCAAAAAAATTAGCCGGGTGTGGTAGCACGCGCCTGTAGTTCCAGCTACTTGGAAGGCTGAGGCGGAAGGATCGCCAGAGCCCAGCAGGTTGAGGCTACGGTGGCCAGAGCGGTCACTGCACTCCAGTCTGGGTGACAGAGTGAGACTCCAACTCAAAAAAAAAAAGAATGCTAGACATATATTTATAAAGTATAATGTAAAACTTTGATTCATATGTAATTTGTGGAATGATCAAATCAGGCTAATTTGGATATCCATCACTTTAAATAATTATCATTTCTTTGTGATGAGAGATTTAAAATCTTCTGATTTGGCTATTTTAAAATATGGAAGACATTATTATTAACTATTATGATTAGGCTTAAATCTACCATCTGACAATTTATGTCTGATGAATAAATCAATTATTTGTTCCCTCTTCTTGGATTGAGAATGTGTTGTAATTTCATTGTCTGTCTTTGTTGACTTATTATTATAGTACTTAGTTTTATGTGGTTGCTTTAGGGTTTATAGTACTTAGTGAACTTATTACAATCTTTAAAGTAACATTATATTACTTCACTAATGGCATAAGAGCCTTAGAACTCTATACTGTCTATACTACCATTTCCACCTTTATGCTATGGTTGTCATATATTTTACTTCTATATATTCTATGAACCACATACTTTATTATTATTATCTTGGGTTTAAACAGACAATTATATTCCACAGTGTTTAAAAATAATTAAAATCTTTATATTCACTAAAAAAAAAAAAAGAAGAATGCAAGAGACACTTGGCAGTAGGATCTGTAACTAATGCCTTAGGTTGGAGTTAGAAGACCCCAGGAATCGGTGCTCAGAGGTGACTCAGGCTGCTCAGGGTTTTGCACTGTCTCTTTATGAGAAAGGAAGGCTTGGTGTAGCACTTTCCATAATGTGAAAAGAATATAGTAACATACCAGTAGGTTTCAGTTTTGTATTTTTTTCAAAGGTGTTTGACCAGAGTGCACTCTCAACTGAAGCTAAAGAAGAAATGTACAAGCTATATCCCAATGCCCGAAGAGCTCACCTGAAAACAGGAGGCAACTTCCCATACCTGTGCCGAAGTGCAGAGGTGAATCTGTATGTACAGGTGAGTCTCCGCTTGGAACCCAGAGCATTATATGGTTTGCAACATAAAGTTTTGTTTGTTTGTTTGTTTGTTTTATGGTGAAGTAAGGGAATAAGGAAATTACCCTCTTTTCTTTGTAGGAATTGATTATAGTGGGTCATATTTATAATTTGTAAGAGAATTCAAACAGGAGTATTAGAGACCCCCAGGTGCTTCTCTGCTCACCATCCCTTTTCCAAGAACACGCTGAGGTAGCCATTGGTATGATGTGCCCTTGTCCCCTAGACACAGTGCATCAGTCAGAGCAAGATACCAGACTTCAGTGGAGTCCATCTGAGTCCCAGGAAGCAACTTGGATGCATTACATTAAAAAAAAAAAAAAAGCCGGGCTCGGTGGCTCAGCCTGTAATCCCACGCCTTTGGGAGGTTGAGGTGAGTGGATTGCCTGAGCCCGCGGGTTTGAGACCCGCCTGGGCAACTTTGCGAGACCTCAATAAATCAAAAATGAGCCAGGTGTTGTGGTAGTGCACACCTGTAGTTCCAGCTACTTGGACAGCTGAGGCAGAAGGATCGCCGGAGCCCAGCAGGTCG